TATGCACATATATGCAGTCATACAAATATGTGCATGTGCACATGTACACACACACATGCACACATTATTATCCTTTGTTATGTTGTCAGCCCCGTATGGGCAAGGATTAGTTTCACTTTTATCTTTGAATCCTTAGTACCCAGCAGACTGCTTTGTATATAGTACACTGAAAGAGCTATTTACATAGTGACCACAATATTTTTTTTTTAAATCGACACTAAAAGTCATCAGAACTCAGATCAATGTACTGACCAGTCATGTCTCCAGAGGACTGATGGGGCATCATACCTCCTGCTTCTCAGCAGACTAGTGGTTTGGAATGAGGTTTAGTCAGCCAGACACAATCAATGTGTCAGTTTGCTTTGTTTAGCTGTATTTTATTTCAAGGTATGGTTCTACTCAGCAGTGGTATTGGGAAATTAAAAATTTTTAAATAATCAATAAACTTCTTAAAAAAAAAAGATTTGCCTTCTTAAACACAACTGTGTAAGGCCCAAAATAATTCCCTAATGGGTAAGTGGTCAAATGATATGAACAAATAACTGGGAAAAGAATAATTGTAAACTATTAACAACTATTTGGTCACTGATAATATCTAATAATATATAATATCTAGTAATTATCACTAATAATAAGAGAAAAGAAAAAAAATCCTTGCAGAGCAAGCAAATTCAGCTACATTTTGGATTAAAAGACTTTTCTTGTCTGGCCTGGAAACCTGGCCACCATTTCCCCATGGTTTCCATGGGGAAAGCATGAGTACCAAACAACTGACTTCAGATGAACTTTTGGAACCCAACCAGTTCACAAGAATACTTTCTTCTAAGTTTCAAGTGAGTCTTTGAGGAGGGTAGCACACTTCAACACTTGCCTCTCCTCCCCCATGAAAAGAAGAGTAAAATGAGTGGGCTATATCCAGCTTTGAAATAGGGGAGGTGGCTTTCTGACCTTTGTCTTGTTTGCTCATCTAAATCAAGCCCTTGAGTTTGGATCTAAGAAAGGAAGTCATAACAAAATGTTTAAGCTGCAGCATTCAATTCCTTCCTGGATTTCCTGCTCCTTTTGCTGAAGGATGGTGTGTAGTGAAGTTATGTGAGCTCTCAGAAACCACAGGGCTGGCAACAGCTTTTGAGATGAACTGTTTTGTAACAAGGTTAGTGAGTGTGGGCTATTTTTAATCATTAAAAACACACTGGATGAAATGAAGCCTCTAACAGATGGGTGTATAGCATATCAACATCTGAATTAATGTAAATAAAAATATTTACACACTCTTAATCATATGGTGACTTCACAGACTCTCTGAACCCTTCCTACATCATCAGGTGACATCAGGCTGCATATAATGAGACCAAGGTTCCAGCTGAGGAGTTATCTGCACAAACACATGCTTACAATCTGTATGGGAGATTTGCTGCTGTTCAGTCATTTCAGTCATGTCTGACTCTTCACCACCCCATTTGGAGCTTTCCTGGCAAAGATGCTAGAGTGGTTTGCCGTTTCCTTCTCCAGCTCATTTGACAGATGAGAAAACTGAGGCAAATGGGTTTAAGTTACTTGCCCAGGGTCACACTGCTGGGAAGTATCTGAGGTCACATTTGAACTCAGGAAGAGAGGTCTTTCTGACTCCAGGCCTGGTACTTTATTCACTGCACCACCTACCTGCCCTGTGTGGGAGATATCATAGGTTTAATTTCATCTGTTTTTACAGAGGCACAGTGGATAGAGCTCTGGGCCTAACATCAAGAAGACCTGAGTTCAAATATGATTTTAGACACTTAATAGTTGTGTGATCCTGGGCAAGTCATTTAACCTCTGTCTGTCTCAGTTTCTTCAACCACAAAGTGGAGATAACAGAACCTACCTTAAAGGGTGGTACATTAAGATCAAATGAAATTATATTTGTAAAGTGCTAGGCACATAGTAGGCACTGAATAATAATTATGACATCATGGAGAAAGCACTGGCTTTGTAGTAGAAGGCCTTGAGTAAAAGCCCCCATCTGATGCTTATTTCCTTGGGCCTCAGTTTCATCATGTACACAATGAGGGGGTTGTACTAGATGGTCTAGGGTCCCTTCCAGTTATGAATCTATGATCCTAAAAGCTAAAAAAAAAAAAATTTCTTTTCATCCATTGTCAAGCCCATTGATATCTCTATGAATCTGACACACACATCCGAGAAAAACTGAAAAATGATGCACAAAGTACTTTTTGTTTTACATTCAACTAGCACAATCTGCAACACTCACTAGTAGTTCAAAAGTTAAATACATACAATGGAATCGTTGGGTAAAAGGACATTTGTAACATATACAATATTAGTAACTTTTTAAGTGTGTTTGGAAAAACAGATACAGAGGAGTATGATATAAAATGCACACAAACACGTTCAGGAATAATTCTGAAGCAAAACCCAAAAGGGCCAATTAATGCAACATTTAATTATCCTCTCTAGATTCTTAACTTAGTGGCATTCTGGAACTAGGTGAGTGAGGTCCACAAATAACGTTCTGATGCTCAGCTTTTATAAGGCAGCTGAGGCAGCAGGTGGTACAGTTGGATAGAGAACTGGGTCTGGAGTCATGAAGACCTGGGTTCAAATCCAGTCTGACATTTAATAGTTGTATAACCATAGTCAAGTCACTTCACCTCTGTCTGCCTCAGTTTCCTCAATCATAAGATGAATAATAACTAAGCATCTCACAGGGTTGTGAGGACCAAATGAGATATTTATAGAAAAAGTGCTTTTTATAGTTTCTGACACATCATAGTATATGCTGTACAAACTCTTACTCCCTTCTCATTCCATTCCTATAAAACCTTCCAGTGAAAGAAAAAAGGGAGCAAATGGATTGTTTAATGGCTCACTTTAGCTAGCTTGCCCACTCTGGTTCCCAATCAACATGTGGCAGATTTCACAGTACACAGAATATTAATTTTTCCTTGAACAGCAGCAGTAGTGGAAACGTGGCTTAAATAAGTAAGAGGAAGAGATAAGGAAAAGGGACTGTTAAGAAATGTTCAAGGACCATAGGCAAATCATTTAACCTCTCTGAGCCTCAGTTTCCTCATATGTACAATAGGAAAAATGCTATTTGTACTGCCGTAATGCATGAGTATACTGTGAAAGAAGTGCTTTGCGAATCTTAAAATGCTACCTAAATGTGATTATTATTATAAGAGAGAAAGTAGCACAGATTCCAGGAAAGGGCTGAAGAAAAAAGGCATATATATAGAAATTACTAATCCTTCTTTCCCCCAGTTTGTCTGCACTGAACCTATTGGCTGCACCATGTTGCCTTCTATACAAAGGAACAACTTGCCACTGGAAAAAATAAAGTCCAATAATTTTGTTGTTTTAATGTTTTCCTAGAGTAATCTCTCTTTTTAAATGTTACATTTGTTTTATTATGATTATTTATACAGCTGCAAATGCCTCAGAGTCTGAGGGTTTCCCCAGGGTGCCTTCCTTCTTGCTCTCTGTCCCTTTCACCTTAGCTGGACAAGGCATATGTTTTTTGTTCCACAGCTGTAGACCTAAAAGACAGTTCATGTCCCTGGTCTTTCCCTAGATGTGTTTTTTGAGGCCCTGGACAGTCACTCAAAGGGTTAGGTTGTACTATTCACGGTCAGGCAAGCTGTTGGACATGTAGGAGAATAAGCACAAAGCTACTCATAGTCAAATCATGTGAGAAAAACTTCACCTATTTTATTGAAAGTTAAGAGGTATAATGGTGCTGATATTTATTTCTACATGTTTTAATCTGATACTGAGCTTTCAAAGCATGCTTTTTATTTTTTATTTTTGGAGAGTCAATTGTTGTATAATGGATTTTGGTTATGGAAGAATGGAGACAAGGGGACTTCTTTCGTAACTCATGAGGATGTTTGTCAGAATATATAAAATTAAATATAAAAGCATTTAAAGCCTGATGGAATCATTGGTGACTCTCAGTATCATCACCTATATTGAAGGCACTGACCACATGGTTCAGGGCTTCCAATTTTACCACTTAATGAAACCGCTCTTCATAATTACCAATAGTCTCTCAATTGCTAAATCCAGTGACTGAGTCTCAATCCTCAGCCTTGACCATTTCAGTATTGACAAGGTTCACTCTGTCTGGCATATAATAGGCATTTAATAACTGCTTGCTTCCTACCTGCCTCTTGCCTCTTCTTGAACACTTTTGCTTCCCTGGGCTTTCATGACACTATTCTCTCCTTGTTCCCTTCCTATCTATCTGCCCATTCCCACTCAGGGATCATCATATTTCCCTGCCTCCCTAGATATGGAGGACACCTGTGGTCTGTCCTGGGTCCCTTTCCTTTCTTTCTGTTGCTATGCCCTCTCTGTGTGAATGGCAAGTTCTGTTTCACTTTTTGGCTCTATATCCCAGCATTTAAGGCAGCATCTGCTATGTAACAGGGATTTATTTCAGAACTCACCGAATAAAGGACTCCCAAACACAGATTTAGTCAACAGTTGGGTCTTAACACCATGTAGAGTCCGTGTTAATTGATGCCTCAATTTATACCAATTGTGAGACAGCAGTTTGCTAAATATTAAAGCATGACAAATATAATTTCTTTCACATATACCCATATAAACTTGCAAGCAAAACAAGTGAACACATTTTCGTTTCCTGTTTCAAAATTTAACTCGAGCAATATCACCACCAGCTACTGTGCAGGTAATAGATGAGAGTAGTCTTGACATCATGACTTTCCTGTTATCCACAACTTCATCTCTCTCTTCTCAAATACAAATAGTTCTCTACACAAGCCTGAAAGTATATATTTACAAAACAGAACATGCTACAAATACAAAATGAGGAAGAGGGCAGAATTAGAATCTTGAGAGAGTTTCCTCTCAATCATTCCATCAACAATGGATCCGATTAAGCTTCTCACCTATTTGACAAGGCCTTGCTTCACATGATTTTCAAAAATTTACAGTTTTTTAATCTCCATCTACTAAAATTATGAAACTCATACCTGCTGAGGTCTCTCTAAATTTGTCACTGGTCTTCTTTTTTCTCCATTTCCAAGGTTTAAAGATCTTGCCTATAGAAGAGAGTTTACCCTTTCTCTTGAAAGGAGGTGTCTGGGAACCTGTAGTGGGTCCATCTGAGTTTGCAATGGAAGCCTTATCCAGCCCATCAACTGTACGAAGGGAAGAAAAAAGAGCAAATTAGGATTGAAATAAAACCAAAGGTCAGTCCATTTGCCTCTTCTCATTTCAAGAAGTCATATTCTGACTCCAATGAGAATATCAAATGAGAGTTCCTTTGCCCTGGTTATATTGTTTTCTAGCAGAGGAAACTTCCTTTAATATAAATCAATCAAATGACTTTATATTTATTTTTAGGGTTTTCTTCTCCTTTTTTCTTGGTCAACTGTTGGAAGAGAAGTTAAAGGGCAAGAAAAGAAATGCTTGTTATTGGGATGGGGGGGAGGATATTGTACATACATATATGTTGTTTTTGTTGTTAGTTAATCGTTTCACTTGTGTCCAACTCTCTGTGATCCCATTTGGAGTTTTCTTGGTAAAGATACTGGAATGGTTTGCCATTTCCTTCTCCAGCTCATTTGATAGATGAAGAAACTGAGGCAAACATGGTTAAGTGACTTGCTCAGGGTCACACAGGTAGGAAGTGTCTGAGACCACATTTGAACTAAGGAAGATGAATCTTCCTAACTCCAAACCTGGCACTCTATCCACAGGGCCACCTAGCTGCCCTTGTATACACATTCAAACATTCATACATACATACATACATACATACATACATACATACATACATACATACATACATACATACACACACACACACATATACATCCTATTCATTAGGGAAAGTGGCCTATTGGTTCCAAAATATCTTCCCAGACTTATTTTCCACTATTTCCTTTCATATATACACGATCCAGCCCAAATTCAGCTTGTCCTCCTCCACCTCCATGCAAGGAAGGAGAACCCAAACACCTCCAGTAGTAGCCCATCCCAATTTTTAGGGAGTCCAATTATTCAGAAGTTTTTCCTGATAATAAGGGCTCTTCTCATCCTCACACACATATTCATCATGCCCTAACAATTTTCTGGAGCAGATATGAATACCACAAAATCCAAATCCAACCAGAACATGTGCCTTATCCTCTGCCTGGAATCACTGTGCTCTGTTCCTATTGAAGGATTAACTTCTCACAGATCAAACTTGTTGAAACAGAAGAAGATCACAGATTTAAAGCAGGGAATATCTTCAGGAGCCAGATACTCCAACCCGCTCATTTTACACATGAGGAATCTGAGATGCAGGGAAGCAGGGTTATTTGCCCAAGATCACCAAGCGAGTGTCAGTAGCAAGGTTTCAACCTCAGACTTCAGAACCAGTGCATGTTTCCACTATATCACACTGGGAGAAGAGTATGAAGTCAATTTCACTAGAAATATTCAATCCATGAGTATAAAGAGGTCATCACCAATTGTTCTCTAAAGAATCCTCAATTTCCTATTCATGATACAGCCCCCTTAGAAATTTACTTTCCACACAAAACCATTCATCAGCAATTCAAATCTTAGCTTTTCCTGAAGGGAAAAATCAAAAGTATATAAAATAAGCTTCTGAATGAAAGACTAAGGTAGTAGGTAATAGGGTGTGGTAGTGAAGCTGACATTTCAAAGTCTTAATTTCTTAAGAATAATTTATCTTGAAAATTCACCACTGTCTTCATTTATTATGCACTTGCAATTCTGATTACTTTCTATCTACATGCACTTACACAAACATGTATATATACATGCATATGCATACATGTATATCATGTATACATATCTTTCTATTTGTTTCATGATTAGCCATTTTATTAATTAGAATTAAAAAGCAATCATGTTCAGTACCATTAGTGAAATGGCTACAGTTAGGAAAATGATCATTTCAAATCTGAACTTTGGGGAGGGATGCAGTTAGTCACCTCTCTCTGAGTAGTTATGTGTCTCTGCCTTCCATCAAAGGTCTACTATTTCTTCAGGATATTCTCAAGACCACAACTGCTTTTGATCCCTAAATCTTTCCCCCAGACAAAACTTTACATTAAGACCAATTTTGGCAAGAGATGAGAGGGGAGGAAACATACTTCTCTGTGGTGAAGACATGAGGGACTCTGGATATTCAATGCTGCATACATTGTCAGACAAGGTCACCCAGTCTTTTGTATTTGCTTGATTCTTTTTCTTTGTCACAAGAAAGGACTTACTGGTTTGGTGAAAGAAGGGAAGTAACCAGAAATAATTGTGATATGAAAACAAAAGACACCAATAAAATGTTATTTTAAAATCAATTAAAACCATTAATATGTTTTCCTCTATAAATATTTTAATTATGAGCCCAATGAATTCATCATTTCTACAGAGATAAGACCCCTAACTCTATACTCCACTTGCTGATGGTGGTAGGGGTCATTAAGTTCACTTGAGTTCTAGTCACTGCTCAAAATTTATTTTTAAGATCCCATGTCATCAATACAAGGTGACATAGGGTAAAGTACCCTAAATTTGAAATCTGAGGAACTGGTTTTGAATTCTGACTGTTATTTATTAGCTGTTACATTTTAGGCAAGTATCTTCACCTCCATGGTTCTCAGTTTCCTCATCTACAAAATGAAGGGTTTGTATTAGATGATTTCTAATGTGTGTTCCACTTTTAAGTATTAAATCCCTGTCTACTTATTAGAATTTTCCTTTTCATACTTACTTGAGGGAATTTTTAAATGTAACATGTAAATATTTTGAAACATAAATAATGATTCATTATTTGTGTGCTAATTGTGCACAGGAAATCTCTTATCTTGAGCTTGTTTGCCCTGATACCCAATGAATTTCTGAGATACCTCCCTCCACTCAAGTGGGTTGAGTTCAGACAACATTTGTATATCTGATAGAACAAAAAATAACTAGGAAGGCAAATCAACTGCAAAATTTTATGATTACAAGCACTTAAAACAACAGGTAGACAAAAACAGAAGATGATTCATAGGGAGATATAATCTCATCTTTAAAACTAACATGTTGAATTTGCACATGCTTTTTTTTTTTAAAAAAAATCAAGCTGTTTGAAGGAGATGTTCATTTTAATCTGTGTTTATTAAGTACAAAATAGTGAAAAATAAAATTTATTTTTAAAACAGTCTAAGATTCATCTAGGAATGCTCTTATATATATAACAATATCGGGGAATGACATTTGGAGTCAAGTCACCTTCAAGATTTCCCTCCCAAGCTGAGGGTTGAACTATGCTGAAATTTTGAAGGAAGAGTGTAAGAACTAAAGAGAAATGAATTAATATGTAATGGAAAGATTGATGAACTGAAAGGCAGGAAATCTGTGTTCTTGCTATGACTCCACTATTTAGTTGTATGATTTTAGAAAAGTCACTAAACTATGAGTGTCTCAATTTTCTCATAGATAAAGGGAAGAGACAGGAGTAGATAATCTCTTAAACTTTGCTTACAGTAACTTTCCTTGTGGCAGGCTATCTTTTGCATTAGATGTACATACTGTCCTGCTGGGCATCCCTACCTCACCCCATCCGTGCTCCTTTTCTAGAACCTTCTGTGCTTAGAATTTTCTAAGCTGGGAAACCTCCGCCCTATATGCATGCACCCTTGATAAGTCAGCAGTTCCTTGCCTGGGACTTCAAAAGTGGGAAATTAAACAAACATGCCTATGTGAGACTACAACCATTCCTATGAAATTCATGGCTGTTCTCCACTTTATTGAGTTGCTTTGTTGTATGGAATGGGACCCGGGTATTCTCATATTAAATGGGGAGGAATAAGGAGAGATTGATGTAATCTGAGTTCCAGGACAGGAGGGTATGTGATTCTCCCAGTTTCATCAATCACTTTCCTCTTCCTGTCATAGTCTGAGAATCATTTTGCCCAAAGTCTGGTGATATTCCAATACTCCTCTGTTGGCTGAATAGAGGATACGTCCTGTCACCTCTGCTGACTGAGACACAGCTGTATCCTTTCTTGTTTCTCTGGTGATCATATTCCAGATGTATCCTTTGTTTCCAGTCCCTTCTTCCTTGCCCTTGTGCATTTGACTATCTCATTAGGGGCCACCAACTCTGAGGCAAAAGATAATAAATGTGTCTTGCTTCAAGAACCAATTTGCATCATCTTGGAAAATCTCTAAGTCTCGCATTCTATGATTCTATTTATATAGCATCCTTCCCCAGGACATCCCAAATGCTCAGCAGATTTTCAGTTTTCTCTATTGGTTTTTATCATACCTCCCTTCACAAAGGCTCAAGTTGCTGATAAGCTAAGCCTAACTTTGACTTTTCTGAGAAAGGGAAGGGAGGATGTCTGAACCACACAGCTGAATCAATTTAAAGAAATGAAGGTTTATTTCATTTCGATAAACATTTTACACAAATCTGCTTTATGCAAAAGCTAGACAACATAGACTATACTCTTAATGAGTATAGAGTACAATGATAACAATAACAACAATTGATTGAAATAGCACTTCAAGTTTTACAAAGTACTTTTCACAACAACCCTGAGAAGTAGGTAGTTAATGCAAGTAGTAGATTTCACAGCTTAAGAAACTGAGGATCAGAGAAGTTAATCGACTTTCCCATAGAGGCAAGTAGATGACACAGTAGATCCAGCACTGAGCTTGGAGACAGAAGACCTGAGTTCAAATATGGCCTTGACACTTACAAGCTGTGTAACCATGGGCAAGTCACTTTAACTGGTTTGCCTCAGTTTCCTCAACTGTAAAATGGGAATAATAATGACACGTACAATTAAATAAGATTGTAAGATCACTTAGTACAGTGCCTAGTACAAAGTAGATAATTAATAAATGCCTGCTTCTTTCTCTCCTCTCTTCCTTCCTTCTTTCCTTCCATAATCACACAAGCAACATGTGATTCAAGCCAAGGCGGTAAGTCCAATGCTTTCTTCCCCCTCAATTTACTATTTTTTTTAAAGCATTCATTTCTTTTTAAATTGAGTTCCAGATTCTCTCCCTCCTTCCCACCCCTACCTACTAAGAAGGCAAACAATGATATGAATTATATGTGTGAAATCATGCAAAACATTTCCATATTAGCTGTATCACAAAAAAAGAAAGGGGTGGGGAATATATTTTA